AACTGCATGTTGCAATTTTAAAGTCGTACAATAGTCAAAAATTCCATTCAACATAACTTAATAACTAAGAATGTGAAAAAGTCCATCTCTAATTTATTGAGCAAAACAATGGGGAAAAAGGAATATTTTCGTCGTTACTTTAGTTTCTACCTCTAAAATGTTTATAGTTTTAAGAAGTGACAATTTTAATCTTTATTTGTAAAATTTTATACACAATAAAATTCTTTTAATATAAAGTTATGAATTATGGATATATTTCAAGAAAAATTGTGATTAAAAATAGAGATTATCTTTAATGGGTTAAATTACATGGGATAGGTTAGAAATGTCATTCTTTTTTAATATTTACAAATCTAGATTATGAGATTTTAATTAAGATTCTTTTTGTCCAAATTGCCCTCATTTAATATCATCTTTTACATTTATTATATAATTAAAAAATGTTTTTATTTCTTTTTTTTTAATTATTATTGAATGTGTTAATTAAATGCTAGATCTTGTTATTTAATAATTATTATTTTGTATTTTAATTACCTAATCGTAATGAAATGAATCAAAATGACAATCAATCGGAATAGGAATGTTATTAGTTTGATGTTGTTTACAGAAATTTCCTGGAATCGTAATCATAATTCCTTTGATGTTGTTTACTAAAATTATCTGGAATCTGAATCCGAATAAGATATATAACCATTACTAGTATACTCCTTTCTCATTTTTAGATAATTACAAATACATTATTTTGCTAATCTTTTTCAATTACAATAATAATAAATTTAATTTTAATTTATTACTATATTATTGATAATAGTAAACATTTTTTTATTATAATAATTTATTTAACATTAATAAATAATTAATAATTAAAATAAACTTAGATCAAATAAAATATATTTTTATTAGAATAACCCTAATTTAATATAACATATTATAAAATTTTATTATTCTAATATTTAAAAACTAATTTCTATTTAAAAAAAATCTATTGATATTATAATATAAATTTATAATATTATATAATAAAATCACGTTAACTAATAAAAATTGAAGTATAAATGAAGAAGAAATTATACGAGTATAAAAAAAAGTAATTAAAATTGTATGGGTCTAATTAACAGATGAGAAAGGATAAAAATGGTAAATTAATTATAATAATATGTGGGGTCAACCGAATAAAGATTGAGAATAAGATTGATGGAGTTGTAAGAGTGTGATTACACTTGAAATTAAATTATAAAATTTGAGGTGGGTCCTATCAATTGATTCCTTAATTAGGATTGTGGGTAACTAAACATGTAAGTAAATTCAATATTGTTTCCAAATTTTAGTAAAGTCTCGTGGAATCTTCATTTTCGCACACCATTTCTAAATTTCACTTCAGGATATTTGTCGTTCAAGCTCCATATTTCCGGTGCCATTTTCCTTCATTTTTTCAATAATTCTGGCGACCTTTTTTCACTATTCCGAGAACCTTTTCTAATTTTCCGACCACCTATCTTTTTTCCCGTGGCTTTATTTATTTATTTCAGCAATTCATTAATTTTTTCGACATATTAATGAGGTTTTTTATTAAGTATTAACTAGGTTAGATAATATATACTTTGTATTGTTACATGATTATATAATATATACCTCTCTAAAAGTCATATAGCCAACAAATAATTTCATTTTCTACAAAGGTTATATAAATATATATATATATATTTATATTTAAGCTAATCTAATCTACAGGGGATTTTTGAAAAACTGAAGGCATGGCGTAACGGGTCCATTGGGACTAAGAGACGCATCTAGCTTTTTTTTTTTTTTAAATTTTGTTTTTACTTCCTTTCACATCTCATCCTAATTTTTATTAAACATCATAATTACGATATTCGTATTAAACAACTTCACTCGCATCTCATCTTAGAGGGATACATACATCGCCAGTGTTCATTGAATGGACATCACTACATTTTTTTTTCTTTTGAATTAATTGTTTTATCGATTTATATTATTTTGTGAGTATTTTAGGCTAAGAGTTTATTACTTTATATTAATAAATATTTAAAATTTAATGTCTACTTTTTTTAAATAAAATATTTTATTATTTTATATTAACATATGTATTTCATATTTTTATTAACTTAATAATTAAAATTTTTTATAATAAAATCTAAAACTCAAACTTTGTAACTTATCTAAATTTTTTAAATTTTCGATTAAATATACTTCATAAATACGAACATCAAAATTCATAAAAATAAATACATAGTTAAAATTGAAATTGCATGTCTTGAAATTTCATTGATTACAATAAAACAAACCTCAAAATTCTTAGAAAAAAATTAAGACTTAACCTAATTCCTATTCTTGGTCATTTGATCATCATCAAGGATATTAGCTCATCTTCGTTGTCGTCTTCTCCTACGATCTGGTATCACTCCTTCAAATTGCATCGATCGATATATTTCGGTAATACTATAAATGTATTCTATTGCTACCAGTCATATTGGGCATGACATTCTGGAAAAAAGATGAAAACAAGTTTAATATTAATAAATAAGGTGATATAAAAATTTAGTTATGATGTTAATTACCAAATAATTATATGATGCTCCTGCCCTCTGTTGAGAAATCTCCTACTAATGCGATTAAAGCAAGTATTATAATTATGATCAACGTCTGCACCCTCATTTATAGGGAGACCATTAATAGTATTATTTTGGCGGTTTTCCCACTCCTGAATCTGGGGAGTCAAAGTTTTTCGTTCCCAATTTTGTTCGTGACGCCCGCGTAAGTCATACGTGTGAAGACGTATATATGTGTTGCAAGGTACAGGAATATATTGCACCCACCCAAATTGACGCATAACACGGTTGGGAAATTGCCACTCTACCGCATAAAAATTAACAATATGGGTTGATAAGAATTCAAACTTTTGACTTTTTTGTCGACGATATATGTCTTAATTAGTTGAGCTATAATCAAACTAGTTTGTTCTCAGAGGTTAGCCGAACATATTCTTTTAATATGTTATAGTTTTTTTAAGTTGTGCTAAATACATTTTAAACAGAATATCGAACATGAAGGAAGAAAGGTATGAGAGAAAAACATATTACCATCTTTATAAAGCAACAAGTGAGAAAGTTGTTTTTTTGTTTTTTTAGGAGTACGGTGTTGGAACGTTTTAATATTGAGTCTGTAACAAGTGAGAAAAGCATATTAACATTTCTAAAACAACAGGTGGGATGGAGATCCAAACTCACGATATTTTAATCGAGGATATACTTTTTAATGCTACGGTTAGATTGGATTCATATATTTACATCTTTTTGCTATAAGTTTATCACCATAAATCAATTAATAAGGTAATGTATAATAGATTTTGAAAAGTGATAAAAACAACAAAGTTATACTTTCTCTAAAAAAAAAAGGTTATAAAGTAAACTATCATTCTTCTGTTTACAGTATCATATATATATACAATTTTAAATACTATTTTAATTTAGTCTCTAAATACTTTTTTACTATTTTGGTATTAGTAGTTTCAATTTTTGTTCATTTTAATCTTTATATTTTCGAAATGTTACGTTTGAGAGATATTTTGAAACTAAAGTATAATATAATATATTTTACAAATTTCCGAAACTTCTAAAATCTTTAAAACCAAAGATAATATTTCAAATATATATAATATCTTCCAAAAAAAAATTCTGTAAAATTTTTTTTTGTAACCGTATGAAATTTTTTTTTTTTTTTCCTTTTAACCCATACATGCTCCAAAGTAAAAATATATTTTTTTTTAGTTTCAATATTTGCTTAAATTTTATAAATTTTTTTAAAAAGTAAATAAACTCACAAACCAAAAAAGAAAAAAAAAACAATTTCATAGTCCACGTTAGTTCTAAAAAAACAATGAAATACACATGCACTTTTGACTTCAATTACTAAAACAAAAATATGCAAAAACATACCTCAAATAAAATTCATATTAAAAAAATTTCCATATCTCAACAATCCTATGTAATATTTTAAATATATATAATAAAATAATTAAAGATAGTGTTGTAGACAAAATCTCAATCCAAGTTTGCTATTTCTATTAAATTTGAACGGTTCCTACCACAAAAGAAAATTAATAATAAAACTAAAAATTTAAAAAATTAACAATAAAATAATTAACAATTACGGAAAGAATGGAAGGAAACAAAATAGGATTAAAATGAGAGTGATGGTGAAGATAAAATGAGAGGAAGAATGGAAAAATGAGGAGAGGGTAAAAAATGAGATATTTAATAAATGAAATTTGAAGGGAAATAAAAAAATAATAAAAAAAAGAATACTCCGAACCGCCGAAAGTGGATTGTGTTTCCAATACAAATAGACGCATCGCTAGTAACTCCGTCAGGAGTTCCGTTAAGTTCCTAGAGACGCATTCGTATAAAACTGGATTTTCAGACACAACACCCTAAAAATCCAAATACTTCAAAACTCACCCGTTTTTTTCAATTTGCTTTGAAAATGCCTTCAGTTTTTCCAAAATCCCAATCTACGGGAGTAGGAAAATACATACCTCATCCAATACCCTTTATTGCTATATACAAACATATTAACCAAAATCCTAAAAAATAACCTAACTTTATATTTGTTGTTTGTCATTTGTTTAAAAACATTCTGAAAATTATATAGAAATTTTGGAAACCACAAAAATAAGTTTTTATTTCCAATTTGTTCCAAAACATAAATATATTTTATCATATTTGAATTTATGGATATTGAGATCATGTAATTTATTTTTTTTATTAAAAATTGAAGAAACATAGAAGAAGAAACCTGAACAAAGAAACGATAATTCCACAAAAATACGTAAAAAAAAGGGGTTATGAGCCCAAAAACTCAACTAAAATAGAATTTTGAAACAAAAAAAGAAAAAAGAAAATAAGAAATTTACTTCACTCGCACGTCTATAAATTCCAATCTCATTCACCTCCAAATTCTTATTCGATTGTTCTTTGATTTCTTCTGCTTTTAATAAAGAAATCAGTTGTTCTCCGCGTTACAATCGGAGGGAATAATCTGTTCATTGGTCAGAGAGTTGACATTGTCAAAAAAATTGTAGAAAATCCAGCTGTTGCGATCGTGAAGCCATTGAAGAGAAGAAGAAGAAGCTTCCTTTTCCCCCACGCATTCCTCTTCCTCCATTCAGGTCTCAAATCCGTCCAATTTTCTCAATCCCTGTTTCTATTATATTCAAGTTCTAATGGCGAAGACGACTTTCTCTTCATTTCTCCTATGTCTTGCTTTGCTGTTCTCAATTTCTCTGAATTTTCTTCTTAGCTCTGCAGCAATGTCCGGTCAGTACGCTTCTCCGGCGGTGCATATCGTTTACACGGAGAAGCCTCGCGATGAGGAACCTGAGGCCTATCACATCCGAACCCTAGTTTCTGTTCTCGGCAGGTTTGTGTTCTCTTCTCTTCCTTCTCTGTGTCCTTTCGCCGGAAAACGGTGGAAATTGGCGATGAATTTTGGTATAATTTGTTGATTTGCAGTGAAGAGGCTGCTAAAGAGGCTCTTGTGTATAGCTACAAGAATGCAGCCAGTGGATTCTCAGCTCGGCTTACTCCCGATCAGGTCGCGGAGGTTTCCAGTAAGTCGCGCTCTTAACATCAATCGTTAAGAATTCAGTATTTCTTGATCAATTGTTCTGTGAAATGCTGTCTTATCTCATGTATTTGATGAACTTCTGTAAGAAATTGATGCATCTGAGCTAGGGATATAAAAATTCGGTTCCTCGTATCAATCTAATGCAGAGTCATGTGGAACAGCTGATGATTTTTTGAGCTTATTGTGATGTGATCTGTACTTTTTTTCCAATTGTCTTGAGCCACTTATGTTGCTTGGTTTGGTGTGAAACAAAAGTTCTTACTCGTTGTGCATGTTCTTGAAGCTGTTTATTGATTGGTCAATGAGTTGGATCAGGATTTTGATTGCCCTTTATACTGTCATATATTTTCTTCCTCCTTGATTCTTGTTGATCTAGCAATCTCAAGCTTGCTTTGTCCACACTTTGACTACATGCCTTTTTCTTTTTTCCTTTTCCAAATATTTGGGGTATCAAGAATTGGAGAATTGAGTGCTAAACAGTAAACATTATCTTCTTTTAATTTGACATGGCTGAATAAGAGAATCAAGTGATTAATGATAAGCTTTAATCTCAAACATTCTTGAGGTCATGGAACCGGATCGTGGCGACGGTTTATTTGAAAAATCAATATCCTACCAATTTTTCAAAGTTGTAAGATCATGTAGTTATTCCGGTGATCAATTGAGACATGTTGCTTGAGCTTAAATGCTCGTTTTTTCTTCTTCTTTCTTGAGTACAACAAATGTGCGGGTAAGGATTTGAACCTCTGACCTCAATGGAAGAATCAATTACACCTTATTCTTCAGCCTTTATCCAATCATTTCCAACCTATGGATCAGACACCACAACACCTTCGAAACTTGGATGTTTTGATATTACAGCAAAAATTATATCTTTAGCAAGTGTGTCATATGCTGCATTTTCTTTTTTGTCGAATCTCTAGTCTTGATAATGTGTCTTTATATTCGTAAGTTTTCTTTTTCTTTCTAATATGAGGTAGGAGATCGAGCATTCAACCTCAATGAAAGTAATAGATGTCTTATCAACTGAGTTATGTTCGGATTGAGATATTATGGTGTTATAAACCTTCAGAATCAGTATAAGATAGTGTTTCTTACGGAACTTTTTGAATTTTGGGACTTTGGCAGAACAACCAGGAGTTTTACATGTTGTCCAAAGCGGTACTCATCAGCTGCATTCAGGAGGAGGAGGAGTATCAAGGCTTCACTAGAGAAATGTTGATGGGTTTGTTACCTAAATAAAGTGCATTTTGTGTAATATTGTGCATATTACTGAATACTCATCTATCTATTTGCTCTAATCCGTCTGCGTCAGATAATTAGGCCAATGATTTGGCTCGTCTAAGTATACAATTTGGTCCCTTATACGTATATCGTTTTCTAATTAGCCCCTAATATATAGAATTATTTCTATTTAGTCTCTACCATCAAGAACTGTTAAATTTTTAATGGTGGGTTGATGTGGAAGCAATACCGTTTAGTTAATGGTATTGGTACTTGGTAGGTATGTGATTGAAAGACGTTAAAATATATGGTTTGAATACTATTTTGGTCTCCATATTTTTTATTTTTGTTCATTTTTGTCACTGTTGTGTAGTTTCAAAATGCTTATTTTGATCTATGTAATTTCGGAACACTCATTTTGGTTCTTATACTTATAAAAAGTGACTATTTTTTGTCAATTCATTTTCAATTTTATCTCATTCATTTATTTATATCATAATTTTAGCATGACCACTTGTTAAATTTCTTGAGATGTAGTCGTTGTGTATAAAATGTGTTAAAATTTTGTAATAGGAATCAAATGGTCACTTTTTATAGTATAGGAATTAAAATAGACGTTTTGAAAGTATAAAGATTAAAATGAACAAAGTTTAAATGATATGTATCCTTTTAAGTAAAATAATATTCAAACTAAAATATAATTAAAAAATTAAAATAGAAATTTGAAGAATTATCCGTGACCATTCGGATTGAAATTGTGATGTTTGGAACAAAGGTCTAGTGTGTGTGTATATATAATTCTTCCCATTTTCTTTTTGGGTTATCTTCGGATTTTGTTTTTATATAATTCTTCCCATTTTCTTTTTGGGTTATCCTCGGATTTTTTTATATAAATAATATTATTTTAAAAAATAATGATAGAAATAACGTAGGTTAGAAATTATTTTAAAAAATAGGGTAGTGAAATTGCAGGTCGACTTTTAATAGAGGATGGAAATCTTCCATTATAATATGTACATTTTGGTTCCCTTTAAATGAAAAACATGTTTATTAGCCTAGTAGTCAGGGATGTCCATTTTACTTGTGGGACTCTGTCCCCCATATATATATATATATACATACACCAAAATAATTTTATTATCCTCTTTATATATTCATATACTAGAAAAATATGTATTTCTTTCTACCCATACACCCAATATATATATTTGGATTCTTTACCATTTTTTAATTTCAATTTCTTCATTATAAAAAGGTCTCAATTTCAATTAGAATTCTTTAAAATAATTTTCTTCTGCAACATTTTAAATGTCAATTTATTTATTATAAAATATCTCGATTTCAATTATAAATCTTTTAACATAATATTCACCTCCAACATTTTAATGCCAGTTGTTCAATTTTATTATATACATTATTATCTTTTTATTTGAGTCACATAAATAACAAATCACCCTCTTGAATCAAGTATATCCTCAGATGAAGAAACAAATCACAATTTTGAACTCAACCCTGCACTTTTAACATCATCATAAACAACAAACATTAGCCAACACCTACATTAAGTAGGTCACAAAAAATTTAAATTTTACACCTAACAAGACTTTATAAACATATCAGCAATATTATTTTCAGATGCAATCTTCTCGAGCTTCACTGTCTTCTTGCTCACCTCATCTCTCAAGAAATGAAACTTCACGTCAACATGTTTGGTTCGATCATGGTATAATGGATTTTTCGAAAGTGCAAGAGCACTTTGACTATCACAATGTATAGTAGGCTCTGCTACATCATCYAGCATGTCTAATATCAACCCTTTCAACCAAATTGCTTCCTTAACTGATTCAGATAATGTTATATACTCTGACTCGGTGGTAGATAACGCCACTACAGACTGAAGTGAAGATCTCCAATTTATTGTATTGCCAAACACCTTAAACATAAAACCAGTTGTAGATCTTCTTTTATCCAAGTCAGATGCAAAGTCAACATCAATAAAACCTTCTAAACACTGAGCATCAAAATCACGAGCTGTGTAAATTAAACCATAATCATTAGTAACTTTTACATATATGATAACCCATTTTACAGTTTCCCAATGTGGTTTACCTAAACAACTCATACAACGGCTAACAACACTCATTGCATAGACTAAATCTGGACGAGTACATGTCATTCCATACATTAATTAACCTACTGCATTAGAGTAAGGTACCTTGGCCATACCTGCAAGTTCTGTGTCTGTCTTAGAAGACTGAAGTTTTGACAATTCGAAATGAGAAGATAAAAGGGTCGTCACTGATTTTGCTACATCAAGTTGAAACCTTTTAACTACACTATCTAGGTAACCCTGTTGTGTAATTATGAGTTTGCTAGAAGTTCTGTCTCTGAAAATTTTCATATCTAGAATCTTTTTAGCTAGACCTAAATCCTTCATATCAAATGCTCTACATAATTCAGCCTTTAACTTAACAATTTTATAATATACATGAGAAGATATAAGCATATCATCCACATACAGTAATGCACAGACACATTCTTGGATACATGTTTAATATAAATACAACTGTCATAATAACTTCTACTAAACCCACATTTAACTATAAATGTGTCAAACCTCTAATATCATTGCCTCGGAGATTGCTTCAGCCCATAAAGAGATTTTTTCAATCTACAAACCAAATGTTCTTTTCTCTTTTCAATGAAACCTGGGGATTGAGCCATATAAATTTCTTCCTCTAACTCTCCATGCAAAAAGGTCGTTGTCACATCCATTTGCTCTAATTCAAGATTAAAATGAGCAACTAAAGACAACAAAATGCAAATTGAGGAATATCTTACAACAGGAGAATAAACCTCATTATAGTCAATTCCATATTCTTGAGTAAAACCCCTTGCAACTAACCTAGCTTTGTATCTAGGTTTGTTTTCACCACTAATACTAGACTTTACTTTAAACAACCATTTGCAATAAACAAGCTTGTGATCCGGTGGTTTTTCTGCAAGCACCCAAGTCTCATTTTTAATCAATGAGGTCATTTCTTCATAGCAATTAACCACTTATCACTTTCTTTAGACTGCATTGCTTCATCAAAGTTCGAAGGTTCATGACTCAACGAGATTTCATCACAATTTAAGGCCTAAGCTATATCATTTCCTTGTTCAACTACATAACTTACTTCATCATATCTTGCTGGTGGTCTAACAACCCTTCTTTGTCTATCTCTAGCCAACTGGTAGTCTGGCATTTGAGATTCTAACCGGATAGTTTCAGTATTAACAATTTTAGGTTGTTCTTCAGCTAATTCACCAGTCACCTGATGATCAACCCTGGCAATTCAATTACTAGAAACAGATTGCTCACCTGATGGTCCAACAATATGTGAGTTTTCTAATTCAATCTCGAATAAGTTTAAAGACACATTGTCTAGTGATTCTGGTAACTCACATTACCTGACAACTCCGAAGGCATGTCAAATTCATCAAATTTCACATCTCTGATAATACATCGCCCTTGACCTAGTTTAAGAAGCCATAACTTATAACCCTTCACCTCATATGGATAACCAAGGAAGATACACTTCCTTGCACGTGGCTATAGCTTGTTGATAAGCCTTGATTAAAGGCTAAAAAATGTAGGTTTGCATGCTTAGTTGATGGTTATTTGAGATGGAAAATGTATGTTCATGCATATAATTTAGGGAAAATGTGCATATTTTGTGATTAAGGACTTGCGAATCCAATTATAGGTTAATGCAGACTAATTTGTATAAATATGTTTATTTTGTAAGAAAAAGTGAAAGTTGATGATCATAGTGCGTCAGACACATCGCATGCCCAGAATTTCTAGCTTACTAAAGGAAGGCACCAGCCAAATTGCTTTGAAAGTTTCAGCTTCACAATGCTTCTGCCACATTCGATGCCTAAATTATCAAAATGTGAATAACCACTTTTGATCAAGTAATTGGTCAAAGCTTTGGTCTTCTCTCCTAAGATCTCTACAACAACTAGTTACCAACTTCCCATGAAATTCTCAACATTTTGTTACCTCCAAAGCCTATAAAATGTGCTTCATGGATCACTTCAACATATCTCATTTTCCATACTTTTGTTTTTCCTTTCTACTTTGTTATCAATTTTAGTTTTGTAGTTTTTATTTTCAATTATTTTTCTACAATCATTCTTTGTTTATTTTATCGCAATTCAACTTGTTTCAATTTTGTAATTTCTTTTCAATTCTAATGAAAATCCATTCTTTTGTTATCTTCTTTTGTTATTTCAATTCTTTTACTTCTATAAGTAGCTAAATTATATATTCAACCCTCCTACGAATGGTTTAGTTCATATATTTTAAATTACATGTATAGTGAGCACGATGTATTACGCTATCTTTGCTTATCTTGATTGATACAATTTATCCAGTTGATTTTCTTGGCCACTTGTTTAAATCACATCAGTTTGAATTTAATTCTGAAAAGTTTAGAGTCAAACGGATCTCATCAAGGTGAAACGGAAAGTTATTTAGAAATAAGAACTAAAACAAGATCCTAGACATACTCTCTTATCCATTAAATGTAAGTTGGAATTTGATTTATTTATGACTCTAGAGTTTCATAGACATCTGTAACGCTGGTTTAAGCTTCTAAACAAACCAAAAGCGGTATGGAATAGGAGTTGAACCAGTTTGTATAAATTGAGCATAATTATACGGGCACATTTGGTAGGTGTATTTCATCTTTTTAGAACTAATCTCAGTAGGGGGTTGGCCTTTTAATCTTTGTGTTTTTAAATGTGTTCCCAACAATTTCACCAACTTTTATCCCAAACTCGATTGCTCATTTAAGCAATTTACAAAATCCATTTTTAAAAGAAAACTAGTCCCTGTTGAGACGAACTTGGAATATTTCCATAGTATTACTTGTGACAGTGTGCACTTGCACTTACCCTCGAGCTATTACGCAAAGGCGCAACACTTGTTTTGTTTAACATGTGCATATGCAGCACATCCAAATACCTTCAAATGACTAAGATTTGGAGGCTTACCTGACCAAACTTCTGGAGGAGTTTTCATATTCAAGGCAACTGAAGGGCTTCTATTTATGAGATACGCTGCTGTCGAAACTGCTTCACCCAAAAACATTTTAGGAAGTTTTGCATTTGTTAGCATACATCTCACCCTCTCAAGCAAAGTCTGATTGAACTGTTCTGCAAGATCATTCTATTATGGTGTGTAAGGAACTGTGTGATATCGCTTAATTCCAACTTCTTTACATAAAGTTACAAAACTATCATTTATATACTTCAGATCATTATCTGTTCTCAAAACTTTAATTATTTTTCCAGTTTGGTTTTCTACCAGAATTTTCCTATGTCTAAAGGTTTCAAAAGCATCACTTTTATTCTTCAAAGTAAACACCCACAACTTCCTTGAAAAATCATCAACAATACTCATAAAATATTTTGCTCCTCCAAGGGTTGGAACTCTCGCTAGTCCCTACAGGTCCAAATGGACATAGTCTAAAATCCCTTTGGATAACTCTCTGCTCTTAGAAATTTTACCCTCGTAGACTTTCCAAGGGTATAATACTCACAAAAAGGTAATTGTGATGGCTTGAACTTACCAAACAAACCTTGTTTATGTAATTCATTTAAACCTCTTTGAGAGACATGAGCTAATCTATTGTGCCAAAGGATAGTTTCTTTATCACCTTGTCCTAAAACAACATTTGCATAATGAGCGGCAGCTGAGGTTCCATTTAAAACATACAAACCATTTCTAAGAGTACCTTTCATTTTTAAAAGTGAACATTTATAGATCTTAAGTGCAGCTCCCTCTGACTTATAACTAAAACCTCCTTTATCTAACTGTCCAAGAGAGATCAAATTTCTCTTCAAGTCTGGAACAAATCGAACAACAGACAAAATCTTCTCCATTCCATCATAGAGTTTCAACTTGACTGATCCTATACCTTTTACAAGACAATGTTGATAATTTCCCATCAAAACCTTGCTACCTTCAAGTTTCTCAAAATCTTGAAAGTAATGTCTATGAGGTGTCATATGATAGGAACATCTGGAATCAAGTATTGACTCATCATTAACTGCATTCTCATACACATCTAACACTTCTGCTGACTCATAACCTTCATGCACATTTGCAATGGTTTGCTCACCATTTTTCTCCTCCATTTTGTTCTTGTTTTTTTATTTGAAGCAATCTTGGATCAAATGCCCTTTCTTATGGCAATAGTAGCATTTTCTATTCTCTTTACCTTTAGATTTAGATTTATGCTTAGTGTTATTTACAAGAGATTTTCTTTTAGATTCTGATCTCCCTCTCACCATTAGCGCTTCAACATCTTTTTTCTCATGTTTGATTTCAAAATCTTTGGATCTCGAAGCATCTAAAACAGTGGCTAACGTTAACGAATCTCTACCATATTCTATTGCAGACTTTATTTCTTTATAACTTTCAAGTAATGAATTTAGGAGAATAATAGCTTGGTTTTCATCATCTAATTTTTCTCCTGTATTCGCTAAGTCCACACATATCTTGTTGAAATAATCTAGATTTTCTTCTAAGGACTTTGATGGTTGCATTAATCCAAGAAACCTTTCTTTAAGTAAATTTTATTTGGCAAAGATTTACTTGAACAAAATGATTCCAACTTATCCCATAATTCCTTTGCTTTTTCAATGTCATTAACCTGTCGAAGCACATTATAAGAAAGGTGTAGAATCATTGTGCTATAGGCTATATCCTCCATCTCAACTTGTTTTTCTTTGGTCAATCTCTGTCGGCCAATGTTTCTAGTTTATCTAAAATTTTTGCCACTTTCTGTTGAACTAAAAAAGCTTTAAACTTTCTTTTCCAAAGGCTAAAATCCTTCTTTCCATCAAACTTATCTAGTACGAATTTTGCCAACATAATTTTAGGATTTTCAACAGCCACACAAAAATTTTAGGCTAACCAAACAGAAAAATTCAGAACAGAACAGCCCGAAACAATTACTATCCAGCCAGACAGACAATTCAGAATAGTCGAACCCAATAGAAAAATCCATAACAGGCCAAAAATAATTATTAATCAGCCAAACAGAAATTTAGAACCGCTAGAAACCTTCAGTACAACCCAAAAATATTTTCTATTTAACCAAACATAAATTTTAGACCAAACCGACCAACTAGAAAATTTCAAAATAACTCAAATGCTTGAACGGAAGCTTACAAAATCAAGAAATGGAATAGGTTGCAAATGATATAATTTATCTTATTCTCTGATACCGTTTGTTGTGCAAAATTACACCAATAACCACAGCTTATTCTATCAAACAATATTATTCAACATCCAGATAAATCTACCAAACAAGACTAAAACTAAATCAAGTAAAGAAGGAAGAAGAGACGACACCGAAATTTATAGTGGTTCGACCAATGTGGTCTACATCCACTGTGCAAGGTGAGAGAAAACTTATATCAGCTTCAATATCCAAGAACAATACAAACGGAAGAGGAGAGAATAACAAGCTCAAGCTCTAAGCAGAACAACCCACGAAGAAAATGAGAACAAAAGACAAATATACAAGAAGAAAGCTTCTGTATTTGTCACCTTTGACTGCTCTGTACACACCAAAGAGAAGAAGACGATTCTGCTGTATTTTGTATTTTCTGCTACGCCTCTACCTCATACCCACGACAAACATAAGTAAAGAGAAAGTAGGTAAAACATATGGGCTTACATAAAAGCCCCCACAAATGGGCTTTACAAAGTAATAAGCCCACCAAACTTCTTTAGCTTTTCTTTTACGGCAAAAATAATAATCAGAAAGAAACACAAGAGCTCTCTTGGAGCAGTACATGAAGGATATCATCGGGGCCTTCTTCTAACCAAATTGAAATACCCATATTAGACAAACCCAATCTAGCAAGAATATGAGCCACTTTATTTCTAGCTCTCTTCACAAAATTGAAGGAAGAAGAACAGATACCAGTTTCTGCCACATTCAACCTCTCAGCAAACCACCCGACATCCGACAGATCTTCCTCCTCCGATTGCAACAGCTGAAAAACTCGATATGAATCCATTTCTAACACGCAAGGTCTAAGACCCATTTACCTCACAAGTCAACACCCCATTTTGTCGCCGAAACTTTAGCCAAATCAACACTTGCCATAAACTCAATTCTAGTCGCAGCCGAGAGCATCACCTGACCGTGGCAATCCCTAACAACCACACCCAAACCAACTGATGACGACACCAAATCAAAAGCAACATCAGAATTAATTTTGTAACAACCCTTAGGAGGAGGATTCCAACGATCAGGCAAAGAGCTATTAGCAGATTCGTTTGACAGGGCCCGGGCATTAGCTCTTCAAAAATCTTGCAAATAAGCAGTCGCACAGCTTCCCATGTTCTCCAGAGATCGCCGCCTCACCTTGTTATAAAACCAATCATTCCTCAAATTCCAAATGGCCCACAAAACCGTGGAAAACTCCTCCATATCCTCTCAATCCAAATGCTTCTTACGCGCCCACAAAGTATTCATAACAGATAATCCAAACGCTGGCGGGAAAAGGAAACGAAATCGTGAAGCCTTCCATACCCGAGCAGCAATTTTACAGTGGTAGAAAGAGTGAAGGAGATCTTCACCATTCCGCCCACACAAACAACACCAATTGGACCCAGCAACACCACGAGCCGTCAAATTAACACCTGTTGGGAGACGATCAAGACAGGCACGTCACAAGAAAATTTTAATTTTAACCGGAATGTTCATTTTCCACATACTCGACCACTATAATTGCCGACAATCTGATCTGGATGGAGAAGGAAGCCGATTAAGAATTCGATACTGATCAACTCGATATCTGCTTCTAACTGAGAACAAGCCCTTGGAATCATAGTGCCAGATTCTCATATCATTCTTCCTATCAACACCAACTGGGATACGCAAAATCAAATTGGCCTCATCTTCATCAAATGCACTCCGAACAATCCCCTCATTCTAGGCACCCTAACTCGTCATAAGAATAGAAACCGTGCTAGATAAAGGAAGACGAGGAGGAGATTGTACCTGAAGACGGCCATCTCTCGGAAGCCAGTTAGAGCCATAAATGGGAATATTCAAACCATCCCCAATTCGCCAACGAAGACCCGTATGAAGAAGAGAACGACCCCATAACAAGCTCCGCCAAATATAAGATGGGTTGGATCCAAGTTCTGCATCCAAAAAAGACATGTTTTTAAAATACCGTCCCTTAAGGGCTAAGGCCAGTAATGAAGACGGCTTTCGCAGAATTCTCCACCCCTGCTTAGCTAGAAGACCTTTCTTGAAAGAAATAAGATCCCGAAAACCCATTCCGCCCAAGCATTTAGGTCGCCACATAACGTCCCAGCTGACCCAATGAATACGCTTGTCCTCATTAAATTCACCCCACCAGAAACGAGTCATCGTCATACTAATATCATGCAAGAGACCAGAAGGAAGCTTAAAACAGTTCATGGAATAGCAGGGGATGGCTTGAATAACAGCCTTAAGCAACACTTCCTTACTACCAATCGAGAACAAACGCTCCTTCCAACCTTGCAACTGGGATCATACCCTATCCTTGATGTAATTCAGAGTCTCCCTCTTGTTCTGAGGCATGAAGGCCAGCAACCCCAAATATCGTTGATGGCAAGCAACCCTCCGCACACGGATGGAGGATTCAATAGCAACCATAGTATGGTGTGGGGTATTAGGGCTAAAAAAGATGATAAATTTGTTCTTTAGTTAAAAACAAAGGTGATGTACTTGAGTCACATAAATAACTCTAGCCTTTAATTTGCTTTTATTGCTAGCATGTGTTGATGCTTGTTATTTTAAACATGATATTTTATGCCTTTAGGGGTGGTTTGGTTGGGGGTTTTCTCAGTCGGAATGGACATGGGCAAGTAAAGCTCTTGTTTCTTACACAAATTTGAAAACTTTTCCTGGGAATAGCTTATTCTCAGGCATCCCTTATTCCTAAGGGTGTACATCGGTTGGTCGGATCAGTTTTCAGGCGAAAATCTCCACCGACCGACTATAGATCGGTTTCCAAAAACGGAAGCCGACCGACCGACTTCCCTCCTTCCTCACTGATCAACGTTTCGTCGGTCAGTTACGATTGGTTTCGGTCGGTTAACCGATTTCTTTTTTTTACCTCCTTCTGGAGCAGAGTTTACAAATCAGATGAAGAGGAACGGAAAAAAAAAATATCTTTCAAAAAAGTATTCGAAATGGAAGAAGAGACCAAAAACATCCTAGATCTAAAAGAAAATAAAATATTTCATACCTAAAATCTTAGATCTGAGAGATAAACGTACATGCACGAAGAAATCGGAGATCGAGAGAACAGAGACGAAGCGTCACGGTGGCGGCTGGTGGCACGATGGAGGAGTGGAAGAGTGTGAGGAGCGCAAGGCGACGTGACGGAGGTGAGGAGAGTGTGAGGGGCAACGGCGGTGAGGCAGTGGCTGGTGGTGGTGTGGACTGAGAGAGAGAGTTGAGGGAGAGAGAGATGAGGGAGATGAAAAATGGGAGGGAAGGCGGCGTGTGTGTGGGTTAAACCTAACCCTACTTATAATATATTATATACATAAAATATATATTTTTTTAACTGATATTTTGGTTGGGTCGGTCGGTTTTAAGTGGTTTTTTTGCCAACCGATCGACCGACAATCCCTCTTAGTTCCCGACTGACTGACCGTCCCTCTATCTTCAAAACTGACCGACCGACCCTATTTCGGTCGATTTTAGTCGGTCGGGTCAGTTTTACCTACCATAATGTGCACCCCTACTTATTTCCATGGACAAGAGTTTTCTTTATCCTTCCAATTTCATGGATTTGTCCCATAGATTTTGTGCCAAACTCTTGTCTCATTTTTTTCTCAATAATCTTTTTTAATGTACTCATTTACTTTATTTTATTCGAATTAATTAGTTAAAATATTTAAATTAAATTTATAATTAATAAAAGAACACTAAAATTTTATCAATAATGTATTAAATTAATTATTATATTGTAATAAATTAATTTATTAAAGTGTATACTTAATTTACAAAAAATAATTAATTGATGCAATTAATAGGATGAAAATGATTAATTTTGTTAAATACATAAAATGATAATTATCATTATTAAGATTGATTGCTAAATAAAATCAACGACATGAATTTATATGTCAAAGTGGGCATAGCTCAGCGGTAATTGACAAACCTGGAACCAAACAGCTGCTTAAGGTTTTGTGTTGTTTTGATGAAATTTTTCTGTGTTATTTTTTGTTACTGTATTTTGGTGATTCTGTATGTGTAGTAATTTTTTCTGTTTGCTAAATCATAATTTTTTATCCAATCTTTTATTTTGCTTGAATTCTTGATTTTGAGGTTTTATATTATGTTTTAGTTTTCAAGATATTAGTGTTTGTTTAATTTTTTATTTCATGTGATCTTTTATTATGCATATTTTTATTAATTAATATCCATTTAAATAGATATATTATATGCACTTAATTAAATAAATTGCATAATATTATGTTTTAAATTATATTATATATGTGCATTGCAATATGCTTAAATGTTGGTCATTAAAATTACGTAAAGATTAACTAATTATTTTGATATCATTTGTGAAAAATTAAGTAATTAAGAGTAGCCACGACACCTTTAATCATTCTAATGTTTTAAAGATATTTTATTATTTTTTAATTTATTGAAATGACATCTTTGTTTGTAATTGAATATAAAATTTAAATTAATTGTCCACAAAGAAAAATTATTTTTATTTTATATTTGATTGAAATGGGATAATATTTGATTTATTATGATAAGAATGTATATATTTTTTAAAATTTTAGTAGCCCAGGGGCCTAAAATATATTTTTATATATATTCTTATTGATATAATGAATATGTCTCAGGATGAAGTATACTTGAATATTATAATTTTTGCCTACAGGTAAATTATAACATTCAATTCTTTTATTATTGGATTAGTTTACATTGGTAGATTTTCCATACTTTACTTGCTTCATTACCGTTTGTAAGTTTGTGCTTATTTGTTTATTTTGCAGTTCAATCTTTAATTATTACCAATTCTTAATCATCTCGTATCTCATTTTTAATTGGTGACCATTTTAATGATTGGAAAGAGAAAATTCTCTTGACATTAAAGTCCATGGACCTTGACTTGGCATTACGTATTGACAAACCATCAATACCTACAAAATTAAGTACCCAAAATGAGAAAGTAGCATATGAACGGTGGGAGAGATCCAACCGCTTAAGTATGATGCTTATCAAGTCTCATGTGGGTAAAAGTATGCGTGGTTCGATTCCCCCCGTGCCGTTAAATTTCTTTGCCCTTTTCATCTCCCTTTCCACAAACCCTATCCTCTGAACTGAATGTCGCGAATCAAATACAAGGCCAACTTAAAAATTGCCCTGGAAATTCATCTATCGGAGAGCGACAAATCGGCGGACGAGTACATCGATGCTCCGAAGAACATTGCCCCCAGCGATGCCTTCGGCCTAAGGAGTTCCTCCCACTTTAGTCTAGTGCTATGTGCAGGGTTTTTGTGAGTCTATGCAAGAGCAAGAACTTCTTCCACTGCCACCACAGTCTAGTCCCGAGAAGGCACCTACTGTTATGTTACCCACCCCAAGTACTCCACCTCAGCAAACCACTAAAACCCCTCAAAAGACCGCCTCTGACTCCCTGCCAACCCTCAATACAGAGCCACTAGTATGTTTAGAGCTGTTAGCTACCACCCTTCCACCAGCTATCCCCGCTATGCCCCTACCCCCAGGCTACTATTACAACCACCCAGACC